CACAACACAACGCACACACAACACAACACACACACAACACAACACACACACAACACACCACACACACACACAACACACACAACACACACACACACACAACACACACACAACACACACACACACACAACACACACAACACACACACACACAACACACACACACACACACAACACACACACAACACACACACACACACACAACACACACACAACACACACACACACAACACACACACACACACAACACAACACACACACACACACAACACAACACACACACACAACACACACACAACAGAACACAACACACACACAACACAACACACACAACACAACACACACACAACACAACACACACACAACACAACACAACACACACACAACACAACACACACACAACACAACACACACACAACACAACACACACACAACACACACAACACAACACACACACAACACAACACAACACACACACAACACAACACACACACAACACAACACACACACAACACACCACACAACACACACACACAACACAACACACACAACACACAACACAACACACACACAAACACACACACACACACACACACAACACACACACACAACACAACACACACACAACACAACACACCACACACACACACAACACACACACAACACACACACACACAACACAACACAACACACACACAACACACACACAACACAAACACAACACAACACACACACAACACACCCACAACACAACACACACACAACACAACACACACAACACAACACACACACACACACACAACACACAACACACACACAACACAACACAACACAACACACACACAACACACACACACACACAACACACACACAACACAACACACACACAATTTAAAGAGACCTTATTTATTTATTTATTTATTTATATATATATAGAGAGAGAGAGAGAACAGTCTGCAGCCAATTTCTCCAGAGTTTATTTCCATTTAACCTGAGTTTTAACCCCTTTCTTGGCAAAGAAATAAATATTCCATTGTCGTAACTAAACGAAATTAAGGAACAAATGGTCTCAGGTGGTTATTTTGGGGTTAGGTGTTTTTTTTGGGGGGTGTGTGGGTGGGAAATGACATCAAGAACAAAAATTGTTCAACAGAATAATTCATGTGAGCGTTTGTTGCATTATTGAACCTTTTATTTTCAAGTCATGGATCTAACATTAATGAAGGGTAAAAGTGTAACCAGGTTTGACACGAATTCACAGTGTAATGTAATGCAACATAATAATAATAATAATAATAATAATAATCCTTGCATTTGATAGAGCGCCTCACCGTGCAATTGGGAGATCTTAACGTGCTTCACAGGATATACAGTCCTGTAAAGTGGATTTACTGTGTATTTTGTGGGAGTGTGGTGGTTTGAACCCAAATGGATCATTGTACAAATAGAAAATACTTCTGGCTACACCTGGACTGCGATCATCAGGGCCACATCCACCTCACGAATGTTTGGTGTATGTTCAAGGTGATCTACAGCGTAACATTTTGCTTATTTCCGGTGCCGCTTACTATGTTTTGTGACAAGTTTATCTCCATGGGTGCAAGAGTCTGCCAACACTCATGGTCTTGGTTTGTACATCAGGGCTAGTGCCACATTATACCCCAGAACCCAGTCAGTAACCTTCGGGGGAAATTTCGCTGTTACTACTTGAAAAGAGAAGGGAGTTTCTCTTGGTGTCCTGGCCAACAATCCTCCAGATAAATTAATCATTCACTCCATGGCTGTTTGTCGCACTTTGCTGGCCGAAACAATTGCTGTGTTTGTTTGTTTGTGTAGAATTGTTATGAACCAGGGAACAAACGCTGATAAGAATTTTGTATGTGCTACTGCAAAAGCATTAAGCATTTTTCCTCATTCCCCTCACCTATTACTGTAGCGCTAAAGATGTTCAGGACACTTGGATCCTGTGACTGTTTGAATGCAATCTGTTTATCTTCACTCATACAAATTAACTCCTGAAAATTCCATGAACTAGTAAGTTGGGGCCAGACTGTGCCCTCAGATAAAACGCATGCAACAGATGATAGTAAGTTTTTGGGAGGGGAGCTGGTGAACAATGAGGTCAGCTGTTTGTACCAATGTAAGCTGAGTTTTTCTGTTACTGGAGATCCTATTTCAGGCATTCATGAAACTACTTAGGTCTACTCATTCCAATTTGCTGAGTGTATTCTTGTATATTGAAAGCCAGCAATAACCGAGATCATGAAATCTATAATAATAATAATAATAATAATCCTTGCATTTGATATAGCGCTTTTCACGTCGGGAGGACGTCCCAAAGCGCTTCACAGAATATACTGTGAAGTGAATTGACTGTATATTTGTGGGCGAACACGGCAGCCAATTGCGCACAGCAATGTCCCACAAACAGTCATAGATTGAAAATGACCAATTTAATTATTGTTTTTGTTTTTTGGAGGGATTATTATTAGGCGTGTGGAGTAAGGAAACTTGCCCAAGGTTTCGCCCTCTGCCTGGAATTGAACTCAGGTCTCTCACTTGCAAAGCGAGTGCTCTAACCACTGAGCTACAGGACTCCACGTTTGCTATATATGAAAGACCATGTTGGCTGGAGAGACAGGAATTTTGAAGGCTATAAAAAAAAACTGCTGTATTTTAAGCAAGTGTACAATTATATTTAAACTCAATCCTGGCAGAACAACAAACATAAAAATGCCTTTATTCACCTATGAGGGAAAAATAGAAAGGCAACAAAATGCCCAATGGAGCACTAAACAATGGCTGAATCTCGCAGTCAAATCTATCAGCAAACTGCATAGAATTTGAGTCTTAATTATAGAGTAATAACTATAATCATTGGTATGAGAAAAATTCTGATACATCACTCAATATCCAGTAACTTTAAATAATGAATGAAATTATACATTGGCAATATGTAAACTAAGTCCCAAATATATCCTTTTAAAGAAGGATTTTTTCCGAGCCAACAATCCCCCAGATAATATTCATTATGCAATTCATGGCTGTTTAGCACAAATTGGCTGTCACTCTATGTTACAGAAACCCTGAGAAGCACTTTGCAATACTTTCGACATTAAATGTGCTCCATCAAATGCAAAGATTAGTATTATTTTAAGGCCAATTGACAAACGATTCCGATTCATGGGGCCTTTAGGAACCCATTTTGCAACGTTGAATTGCCATGTAACACATTGTGCAGCACTGCATTGCAATGCAACAGGGCCCCCAGTATAGTAAAGATGTGGTCCCACAGAAATTCACTGTCTGTGAATAGGGTCCGTGACCATTGCTGAATAGCTTTGCCAAGCAGCTGTCGTGGTGATCTGCTTCCCGAAATTGATCTCTGCCCAACTGAAACTGCAGCTGGAGCAGGAGGTGACTGATGTTTGTGTGTGTGTGCGTGTGTGTGTGTGGGTGTGGGGGTGTGTGTGTGGGTGTGGGTGTGGGTGGGGAGGGAGAGGATGGCTTGCCAGCAGCAGGGATCCAGGTTTGAGGAACGGGCTGTTGAGGGGAAATGGGGTGTTGAAAGACAGACCCAGTGGTGATTTTGGAGCCTTGGAGGATAACAAGATTATTAGGAAATTAGTATCAATCGATTTCATTTTGTCAGTTTCAAACATATAAATGGGGTGGTTTTACACAGGAGCAAGAGTAGGCCATTCAGCCCCTCAAGCCTATTCCACCATTTCATTAGATCAT